CTGGTTCCTCCTGAATCTGGGGGGGGCACCTGCAGAAGCCACCACTGGCTCTCATGGGGGAGCACCGGCCCTACCGACAGCATCAGTGTCAGCCATTGGGGGACCCCCTACCAGTCACCTATGAACTTCACAAGTTGGTTCTGAAAAAAGACCAAGCCACTTGTCTGACTCCAGGCCCCTCACACTGGTATCCAAAAAAAAAAACAAACCAAAAAAACAGAGGGGGACACAGTGGATATCTGTGGAAAGTTTAAATTTCCCAGAAGGCATTAATTCAACAGATACTCTGTGGCAGAGGCAGAGATATAATCCAGTCCTCATATAATGATGGTTAAGGAAATCTTTTGATGAAGTCATGAAGTCATCTAGTCCAGCCCTGTACTCAAGGTAGGATCATCCTCGACTATACCATCACATCAAGGGACCAACTTGTTCTTGAAAATTGCCAGGGATGGAGATTCTACTATTCCAAAAGCATTGGAATAGGCTTTTATAGACAGCCTATTCCAATGCTTGACCACCCTCGTGGTGAGACTTTCTTAACTGAAAAAAAGAAAAGCAAACAAAAACCCAGAAATTCTGTTATATAGAACTATATTGTTCCCAGTAGGATTTGGACCTTTGCTGATGGCAGAGTAGAGATTCGGAGCCAGATGCATTGCATCTGGCCCCATGGACTTGTACACTTCCAGCTTTTCTAAGTAGTTCCCAACCCGTTCTTTTGCCACTGTTGGCTGCTCACCTTCTCCCCAAACTGTGCTGCCAGGTGCCATAGTCTGGGAGCTGACCTTGCCTGTGAAAACTCAAGTAAAAAAGGTATTAAGTACTTCACCTTTTCCTCACCATCGGTCACAAAGTTGCTTCCTCTGTTCAGTAAGGTATCCACACTTTCCCTGATCTTCCCCGTGTTGATGACATACTTGTAGAAACCCTTCTTGTTACCATTTAGGTCCTTTGATGGCTGTAACTCCAAATGCACTTTAACCTTCCCGATTTCATCCCTGATTTCATCCCTGCCTGAGCAGTAATCTTATACTCCTCTCTAGTCATTTGTCCAAGTTTCCACTTCTTATAAGCTTCCTTTTTGTGTTTAAACTCACTGAAGAGTTCCCTGCTAAGCCAAGCTGGTCTTCTGCCATACTTGCTAGTCTTCCTGCACACTGGGATGGTTCATTCCTGTGCTCTCAGTAATGCTTCTTTAAAGCACAACCAGCTCTCCTGGACTTCTTTCCCCCTCAGACTGGCCTCCCAGGGAATCCTATCCATCAGTTTCTTGAGTGCATCAAATCTGCTTTTGTGAAATCCAGGGTCCTTACTGTGCTGCTGTTCTTCCTTCCTTTCCTGAGGACCTCATGGTCACTGCTGCCTGAGTTGCCATCCACTACTACATCCCCCACCAATTCTTCCCTGTTTGTGAGCATCAGGTCAAAAAGAAATGGCCCCTAGTTGACCACTCCAGCACTTGCACCAGGAAGTTGTCCCCAACACTCTCCAAAAACTTCCTAGATTGCCTGTGCACTGATGTATTGCCCTCCCAGCAGATGTTAGGGTGACTGAAGTCCCCCATGAGAACCAGGACCTGTAATCAGGAAACTTCCACTAGTTGTCTGAAGAAAGCCTGATCTTTCTCTTCCTCCTCCTGACCTGGTGGTCTGTAGCAGACACCCACCACAATGACACCACCCTTGTTGCTCTCCGCTCTAACCTTAACCCAGAGACTTTCAATAGGCCTATCTCCAGTTTCATACTGGAGCTCTGAGCAATCATACAGCTCTTTTACATACAGTGCAACTCCTCCTCCTCCTCTTCTCCCCTGCCTGTCCTTCCTGAACAGTTTGTACCCATCCATGACAGTGCTCCAGTCATGTGAGGTATCCCACCAAGTCTTTGTTATTCTAATCATGTCATATTTCCTTGACTGAGAAAGGATTTCCCATTCTTCCTGCTTCTTTCCCAGGCTCTGTGCACTCATGTACAGACACTGGAGGCAACTAGCCAATTGTCCTTTCTCAGTAAAAATGAGGACACCTCCCCTATTGCCCCCTCCTCTTTGTGCTTCCTCCAGGTCTCCCACTTCCCCACTTACCTCAGGGCTTTGGTCTCGATCCCCTGGTGAACCTAGTTTAAATCCCTCCTCGCTAGGTTAGCGAGCCTGTCTGCCAAGATGTTCTTCCCTCTCTTTGTCTGCTGGATCCCGTCTCTTCCTAGTAATCCTTCTTTTTGGAACAACATCCTATGGTCGAAGTAGCCAGATTGGTACTAGTGGCACCACCTGCACAGCCATGCATTAATCCACAGGATGTGTTCACTTCTGCCCAGGCCCTTCCCCTTGACCAGAAGGATCGAAGAGAACACCACCTGTGCTCCTGTCCCCTTCACCTTTGCACCCAGAGCCCTGTAGTCACTCTTGATCTGGTTAATCGAGTCTGCTCCAACGTGTTCTAGTCAAAACATGTCAGAGCACCTGCAAAAGTGCCTTTTAATACTGAGACAGCTTTAAACTATAGGATTTCTTTTCCTGGTTTTACTTGTCTTAGGTTTTAACAAAGTTATATATAATAAAAACAAATTCTGATTCAGGCCACAACCACCAGTTTGGACAAGTGGAAAAAAGAAACATGTTTATCTTTATATAGCCAGATTAATTTAATTAAATACTCTCAGGATAATCAGCATTGCGTATTTAGCCAATCAATGAACTAGTTTAGTTATCTGCAAATACTGATAAACAATTTTCTCAGTTTACTGAGGTTTTCAAAATGTTGCAAAACCAACAAGTCCAATACTGGTGCATGACTGATCTGCACAGAACACAGGCAAGGGACTGCTTAAATTTCACCTTTGTACCCCAATCTTGTTACAGCCTCTACAAAAGCTGATTTCTTTATGCTGACACAGAGCAGCCTAAGGGCTACCCTACCTTATGCCAGCCATAAACTGCCCCCAAGAGGATGAAACAACAGCCAAGATTGAATGTGGAGCTGCATCATAATTCAGAGTCAGAAGATGTTGGCTTCTTTGCATATAACCTTGTACCCCAGGTGACCAGGGTCAACAAATAAAGCTGTCTCTTCCCAGCCATCAAGTGCTTTTTTACTGCTCCTGAGGCAGCTTACTCAGAATGTGGCATCACCCCTCTTACAGCCTGACCCCATCCTTCTTATTAAGCTGCTTGTTATTCATTTAAGCTAGAGAACATGGAAATCCAGAGAGGAGATTGGTCAGTGATTTCCCTTTAGCTGATATGTACATATTTGCATAGGCTACAAGATTCCCATCAATACAGAGCAGTCTGGTACGGAGCATATCTCCAGTAGAACAAACTACCTCAAGCAATAGAGTTTGCTTTTGGAAGTTAGTAACATATTCATAACAAATGACCAAGATACTTTTGATACTACACTCTTACTCTACCTTTATGGTAATTATGTACTAATGAGGCATCTATCAGTATGCAAATTCAATTACATTACTACAGTTTTTACACCCACTTTCTGACATCCAATTTATATATCTTCCTAAGTCATTGCAGAATGCATGTATACTGAGTGTGGGTACTTGTCTAGGCTTATGGACTTCAACAAATAAGCTGTCTTTATATGGGTTCTGGACTGAGGTGCGGGGTTTAATTAGAGAGACCCTTGGAGGTGCTCTATTTAAAGCACCCGCAGTGTCTCATTATTCAGCATCCCGCTCTTCGAAATAGCAGTAGGGGCATTTGATGAGCTGCCACTTTGAAATGTAGGGACGCTGAATACACATGACACCAAGACTGCTGGAGAGTTCTAATAAGATGAATCTGCTCTGACACATTCTAATTAGAACACATTGGAGCAGGTGTCAGGCACTTGTATAAGTGCGCATAGGTGCTAAAAGCACTAAGTGCAAAAAGACACTAGGTTCAGATATCACTCTCCTGCTATCTCAAAAAAGCAGGTATCACTCTGAATTTTGCAGCTTGAATTCATCTTCTATTAATTCATATTTTAAGTAGGCTACCATTTATTTAATTAAATTTGAATGGACCATGACATGTATTACACCTGGCCTCACTTTGGTGAATGCAGTCCACCAAATCAGCCCCCTGCAAAATGAAGCAAATTTCTCCTTGGTTCCCCATTGTAGAGAAAACTTCTGTTAGTCCCTCGGAGCAGGGCTGTGCAAACAGATGTTCCTTCCTGCTAAGAACAATAAACTCCACTAAATGTGTACAAGAACAGCATGTTGGTTTTGAATTAAGAGACAAGGGATAAGAAAAAATGCTCTTGTGTGCTGAGCAGTCACAGAAAACAGACATTGTTGGAACCATACTAAACAGTAGGTGCAGCAGGCAGATTCTTAACAGTGGGAAGAAACTGTGCCATAAAATGTTACTGAGAACTTCACAACTGAGTGATATATATCCTCTATTCCCTGAAGATACCCACCAGCATTGGTCATCCTGAAAAAAAATGGTTTTCATATGTTTTCAAAATATGAAAATCCAACAGATGCACTTGAAACCTCGCTTTTAGATGCAAATAAAATTAGCCGAAGAAATGAGCAGAGATAGCACCAATCATCTTTGTGGATGGGTTTGTCTATAATTAAAGAACTGGTGGTTCAGTCCTTTTTTTCAGTTTGCAAAACATTCCTGATTTTTAATAATGTATTTCTTGCCCATAAACAGGGCCAGTTTAGGCAAATCTGCAAAGTGTTTTAAATGAGTCCCCTTGCTATGATCTTCAATATCTAATCATCTCGCTCATCTCGCCTGAACCAAATTCTGCTCTGCCAAGTCAGAGGCAATTGGTGTTTTTAGTCCCAGGGTAAAAGATAAGAAGAATTAGAAAATGGATCCACAGCAGGACTGTTTGCTTGCAGAAGGGGTGAAGACAACCAGGGTCTGAGGTATCACAGTAAACTAAAAGAAGAACCTATGAAATACCCGGCCCAGTTAACATTAAAGAGAAGATGTATCCTAATTTACTTCAGAACAGTATCCACACACTAATATTTTAAATCTTACTTGGAAAGAGAGATCCCACAATCCTCTCAGCTGATCAAGTGTAGTCACAGGGTGAGGCCTGTCCTTTGCATTCCAGACAGGCTGACCCCTGTGAGCTTCCCCAAATGCAGGCAACTCAACTGCACAGTTTTGTGGCAATGGGAGACTGTATTCACACTTTCCCTGACATGCTTTGTCCTCAGCCTTTTGGCTAGGGGGCATCCGAACCCCAAGGCCTTCAGGCTTGCGGCTTTCACGTAGGATGCCTGCCATGAATTTGGAGAGCATCCAAAGCCCCAAACTGATGGGTCTGGGAGGGAGGACGCTTGCCCAGTGGTAGAGCCACGTAGACTTGAGACTTGAACAACTGAGCTCTGCTCAGTCAAAATTTGGAACTTGACTATTGGGCTTTGCCCAATAGAATTTAGAACTGATTTGGCCCTTGAAACAAAATTTATTTAAAAAAAAAAAACAACTAATATTTTAAATCTTGCCTTATGGCCAGAGATCTTCAGCTACAGCTGTAACTCTAGCAATCCTAGATCTAGCCCTATTCATAAGTCAGATTATTAGCATGAATAGTTCACAGACAATACAATAAAGTATTCACTATTCCTAGAATGGTATTCCTAATTGTATGAATACAATTGCTTAAACTCATTCTGGAGTGTACAAGAATTAACTGCTAAGGGATAAAAATATCAAAAGTTTCTGGAGTCACAGATATTTTCACAAATAGTAACAATCATATGAACAACTCTGATTCTATGAATACCAAATGAGTTCAATTTATTCACCAATATTTGTGTTTGTTGGGTCCCAACAATCACTCTCTGCACTTACGGTATTTGAAAGATTCAAGAGACATTTCCAAGAAAGTGGCAGAAATACAAACACCAATTTTCATGCTGCACTCCGAACTTGTCTTAGTTGATTGTTACATTCCTTCCCTTTTTCCCTTCAGATGAGGAGATGAGTAGTTTGAACTAGAGTTATCATCTAATCCTTTGAACTTCCACAGGCAACCTCCTTGTGGAATGTTTCTGGTGCCTTAAAGATACCAAACAGTAGTAGTAAGAAACCCTGCAGGCCAAATAAAGTTGAATATGTGATTTACACCTGTTCTCCTAATCCAGGAACTATTTCCCTAAAATAAATTGGACACTGACCAAACTAATGCCAATGATTTATGTGATGTATATCTTTCAAAATAAGGAATGAACAGCATTTATAACTCTTCACATCTTTTCTTAAATTCCTTTGGATCAAGACCTACCTTCTTGAAATCCCATTTGGTTTTCCTGCCTTCCATCAACCAGTTGGCTCACTGACTTTATAGCACTTAAGTTCCCCATGCTTATTAGCTCTGTGGACCTGAGCTTCCAGGACAAATACAATGTTCTTGTTTTTAATAACTGGAGTTACCTTGAGGGCTTAAGCAAACATTACATGCATCCTTAATACAAGCAATTTTATGAGCGCAGACGCATTCTTCTACTATAGTATTTTCACTTACAACCTAGCAGACCCTCCTCCTCGATTATATATTTAACCAGGTTGAGTTTCTATGATTTCTATACCAAACACTACAACATAAAGTACCTCTAATTTTCACCTACATGACACAGTTGATATTGGAGTTATGGGTAATCCTTCCCCATGGTACACTGTTAATACTCCTTTCAAGCAAAGGGATAAGGATATTTTTCTTCAATAACTACTCCCCTCCATCAACACCTTGTGAAAGCTGCAGGACATAGTAGCTCAGGCTAATGCTGCATGGATCATATTTACCTCATCACGCAATGAATCCCATCTAAAGTAGAGTTTAAGGACACCAGAATACAAGAAAGGGTAGATGCCAGAAGACAAGGGGAATTATAATAGCTCAGTATGGTCCTCAAATGGACCTAGTAGCTCTCCAGAGATTAACCATCCAGCCTATTCTGAGATCTGGGAAATTGCCATCCTTGAAGATGCTATCATTTAAGATTTTTGGACTGACAACAACCTGCATAGAAATTCACTTTAGATTCTTATTATAGATCTATTGGTTTGCATTATTGTGTGTTGTTCTGTGCATATCAGATGCACTTTGTCAAAGGTTTGTTACTCTCACAGTACTCCAGTGATCAAGCACATATTTTAAAGGCACTGTTTACATATGTTGCCTGTAGCCTTTGTTTGGGAAGATATGAACAACAAAAGCTGAATTCATCAGACTTACCCTGTGAAAAGGGATGGTCTTCAGTAGAAAAAAAATCCCAAGGAAAGGGGTTATTATTGTATAGCACACAAGAGAATAATAGACATCCAATGGATGATCAATTCATGACAGTCAGATTTTATATGGTTATAAATCACTTTTCATCGTGGATTCCAAAAGTGCTTTACCTGTGTGGCACAATAAATATTACCACATTTTATGGATGAAGAAAGTAAAGCATGAGGATATCTCTTCCGTGTAACTGGACTGGCAGTCTGAGTAAAAAGACTTAAATGTGACTGCCAGTTCCACATCCCATGCGTTTCTCCCACTGACTTGACTGGTGTGGACTCTGTCTATACAGCAGGATATACTCATTCACCTAAATAAGGGAAACATAAAAGTTTGCAGAGTCTAAGCAATTTTGAAAAATCCTTACTGGAAATATTAAAGAACCTATGTAAAAGACTGTTTGCATGCAATCTACTTGTACTACAGTAGCATAATATCCATGCTTCCAGGAGACATGTGGATAGTTCCTTGCTAAGTACTTTGGGTACAGAGAGAAGTGACACTTTTTGCCCAATCTAGCCACAGAAAGCAGTTTATAGCTGTGACCAAATGCAAGTGCACAACTGCAGACAGCTTAAAAAATGGCTGATCTGGTGAAAATCTGACCTCTCATTGCATGAGGTATCAGACAAAGAAGTTTCAAAATGGTAGTGTCTGTAACTTGTGTCTGCAGAGCTCCCAGCCTGTCTCTGTTTTCAGAACGGGAGGGAAGGAAGCAGAGGGAGTTCAGTCTGGGGTTGTTTCAGCCCCCCCTGTGGAGGGTGGTGCAGGTGTATTGGAGCTGTATTTACAGCACTTCCTTTAGGCTACCCAAGACTATCCCCAGGTGCATTCGCAGCAGGATAGTAAGACTAGAAAACGTAACTAAAAGTGAAAAACTCAGAGCTCAATTAACTTAGTTTACCGAAGAGAAGTTTAAAATGCAACTTTACTGCAGCCTTAAAGTACCCAGACAGGAAACATACATTTGATAAAAGAATGTTCTTCAGTCAATCAAGCAATGATTTATCAGCTTTGAATGGATGGAAGCTGAAGCTAGAAAATTCAAATAAAAAATAATGCAGACATTTTAAGAGTTATGAAAAAGACCCATCATTGGAATAAATTAGGAAGGCTCAGACAAATGTTTCCTCTGATATTTTTTCAAATTATTTTATTAAACAATCAGGTTTTACATGTCATCAGAACTAACCCCTGAAGTGCAAAAATGTTTCTGAGGTATTAAGACTGGAGGAAAACATGCACAGAATCATTGTTAAAGATCCCACACTATCGCAGGTTGGAAAGTTTGCGAACAACAGGCCTTTACACAGCATTTTCTGGATGAGATAAAAGTGATATCGTGTTTGTATTTGCATTTAGTCTTGATATTCACAGAGCCCTGATCATGAACCATTTGTGTCATATCACAGAAAGCACAGACAGGAGTAATACAGGAAAGTGATAAATAACAATGAGGTGTTTCTGGATCTGGACCAATATATACAGAATGCAGTAAGTGAAATTAAGAGGTTAACTGCTGGGCCTGTAACCAAAATCCCAACTGCCTAGCAATCAAGTTTAATACACACACTATATCTACTCTTGCCTCTCGTTATCAGTACCGCCAAGTTCTCTCAAGTCTAAGAGGCTGCACTGATGTACCTACATTCCTATTTGTAGACACCTGTTTAATTCACTTAATTCAATTGATCTGAGGTCTAGCAGATTAGCCGGAGCCAATTTGGGTTACATACTTTGCCTGTTGTTTTTTAAAAGTTTGTCTTTAAAGCGGAGAGGAAATCTATTGCATGGGGGAAAACAGCAAGTATAATTCTGTGGAGAGTGGTTAGTGAAAGGACAACCTCTTTTTTGACCCGTACAGCGTTGTGGCTGTGGCTGAATTGGTTCTACCACAGGATGACAGAAGTGGAAGCATCACTCATTAACTGCAGAATTTGGCCCTAAGATATTTTAGGTGTAAGAAATGTATTACTTTTGTTTGCTTGATTGATTCTTTACTTTTCTTTTTCTTTAATAAAAAGAATACATTCTTTCTACTTTTACATGACCTTGAGAGCAGAATTTAACCCCAGGCAATATGAGTGTTGGCTAAACCTCACTAAGCCTGAGTGGAAGGTAAAGAACCAATTATACAGGCACAGCTCTCATGGAAGCTATTATTCATGGGGAGAGGTTTTTGTTAAAGTAAACCCTACAGAATTGTGCCCTAGGACTGATTTGAATATGCAGCAGTAAACAACTGAACACACACAAAAAATATCAGGCCAAATTCTGCTCTGACTTGCACTGTACAACCTCAATGGCTTCAAGGGAGTTATAAGGTAGTGTGGTGTTCTGCCCATTGTGTCTTATGACCCCACTTCCAAATAAATGTGCTCAAGGACCACTTATTATTTAGAGTCTCTCCACAGTTCTTTTTAGTCCAGACAGAAAATTCTGAGCTACTATAAGTTGTTCAACAGGCCCACAGAATAAAGTTGTGGCAAAATAAAGGAGTAGAAGTGTCCCTCAACAGAGAAGGTACTTAAACATCAGTATTTCAGATTTAACAGGTTTGGTGTGTTTACAGAAGATTTCATCTTCAAGAATGCTTAGCTTTAAAAGCCCATGTGGAAGCTGGACCCCATAGTATACCCATGGGCAAAGTGTTACAGCACTCAATCATAAACACAATTGAGAATAAGTAGCTAGGATTTAAACCATCATCATTGCTTCTTGTGTCTATACAATAAAGTCTATAATGCTACACATAAGAATAACTAACGCTCAGTATAGGCAGAATGTTGCCTTGGTACATTTTTAATGAGAGTAACCTTCATGGACAACAGAGACAACCCCAAAAGAAAATAAAAGTGCAAATTCATTGTTGTTTTCAGTTAAAAACCGGGTTCTGTATCCCATCCAAAACTGAGTTGCTGGGCCACTTCCTGTGGAGAAGAGTGAGGGAGCATACAAAAAGGAAAATGCTCATGACTCCTAGGATGACTATCCCTGAAATCAGTGCACTGGTGACCGAGTTCAGGTGGAAAGGCGGCCCATTTGGATGAACTGCAAGGGAATAAAAGTACACAGAAAGTGATGTTAGACTCTCTGCAGGGCTCAGTGTCCTCTGCCTTCCTACTTCCTAGCTATAGAAAAAAATACAGTATGGGGGCTATTGTGAAATGCCCAGTAAGTCTATTTAATATAGATAGGGTGGGTAGATGGTGCTTAGCTCCTTCAGTCTCCATTTTGGTGAGTGTAAGAAGCTAGAACAAGAAGCAGCCGCAGGCAAGGCATACACACCATCATACTAATCAGAACTCGGGTCTCAGTTATGCAGGATGTCACCTGATGGGAATCTTGATGGATGCTACTTAACGTAACCTTGGCATTGACAGTGGAGGAGACCCCCAGTGTGCTTATGGGACTTATCTGTATCCTGATGTGAAGTGGTGGAGGAAGGTTCAAGGGTTCCTTCTCAACAACCTTTGACATCAGAAGGCATCGTAGTGAGATTTTGCTGTAAATTGTTCTCTAACTAATATTTACTGAGATCAGGAAAAGGACAGTACTAAAAGGACCAGAAGTGGAGTACAGGTGTATCCTGTTTCCCAGGAGGATATATGATTGGGGGACCGCCTTCCACCAGCATCCCATATTTGCAAGCCACTTGTTTCCCTGCCTGTTTTCCCAGTAGAAGCACTGAGCTCTGTCGGTGCCCAGCCACACTGTTCATGTGGATCACTGGTTAAATTCAGGACAAAATACCAGGGAAGACAGAACCTGAAGGAAGGTTGCTTTACCTTTTTTGCTGCAAAACTAAACTAGGCTGTACCATAATTTCCATTTTGTTGTTCACCTCATCTTTTGCATGACGAGGTCTTACTGCTTAAGCCTCCAATATTGCTTCTGGCAATTGTACTGTTTTCTCACCCTCACATGCCATAGCAGCATAAAATAGGGTTGCAGCTGATTTTTATTTCAGTTCCATAGCAGAGATTAGAATTTGCTAAGCTGCTGGGGCTGGATACATGAACCACACAGAACATTCCAGATTTACCAATTGCTTTCTATATAACACATCAAGATTCTCTCATTTTGAATATGAAAAGCCACATAACACATACAGCTGAATCCAGATGGCTTATCTACTTGGTGCCGAAGCATACCTATAATAAACCTTCCTTTTGTATTTCTTGGACTGATTAACTTACCAAGCTGTGAATTGTTGGTTGGTGTCTCGTCTGTATAAAATATGAAAATATAAGCATTATATTTTACAGCACCTGCATCTGTATCTTCTCCCTCCCTACCCAAAAGCCATGCCAGTGTACTTCTTGCTTATTTTTAAAACCTGCCCACTATGTTTGCAATGTCAGCTTGTCATTTTTAGTAAGCATTTTTAGTAGAATTGGGATAGAAATATTACTCATAAAAAGCTTTTTCATTTTTTAATGCAAGTGTACTGATATCACGTTACTGGTTATTCTGCTGCTGCTGCAAAAAAAAAAGACTCAATTTAGGATCCACAGGTCTGAAAAATATTGCTAACTCTTTTTTTCTGACCTCTTTGATAAAAATATGACTCAAAACATCAAGCTGCAAGTGAGAGCCCTTATCAGCAGGTATTGCACCTCTGTGATGGTGAAGGAATTTTAATCTTTGTTTTAATAAAGAAATGTACATCAGGGACAGCAAAGGCAGATAAAACTTCCTCCTCCTCCACATATGCTTTTCTCTTGACAGTTGCATACTGGCATCATAAATAAGGATGAGTTTATTTTTTTCCCTGATTTTTACTCACTCACCACTGTCATTCTTGAAACTAAATTTCTTGGCAGTGTTTGTTTTTGCTCTTCTTTGTGTAAGCTCCTATCACCACTCAGTAGGTACATCTTTTCAAGGACTTGAATGTTTTGTTAAGTACGCCATGCATTAAATTCTATAGAAATTGCACCTTTCACAGGAAAGTAACCATCTTGTTCCCATACAGAGAAAAATGTCTATTTTCTCTAAAATGACTTATTTCAGATTAACAAACAAATACAATGCCTCTGAAAGCACAGTGTTGGAAAAACTAGCTTAAAATATACAGCAGTAAGCTAGTCGCTAGCAACCGCAATCCTGCGTCGTACTAAATAATGGTATGCCCTCTCATGACTGTAATATCTGACAGCCCCTCACCCATTAATGAATTTTATTTTTACAACCTCACAAACTAAACCAAGAGTTCTTGAGTCCCAATTCAGGTCTTGGTCTACTAGACCTTATGTCTGGGACCTTAAAGCAAGGATGAATGAAAAGCAGTTCTCTGTATGTACATTACATCAACCTTTTAAGCCTCATTTCTCAAATAGTAGACAATTAAAAAAATAACCTTTTCCCTTTTATACTCCTTCAGGATTAACTTAGAATTCAGTGATGAGTTTCCAACAATTAATGCACTGAAGAATTCAGTTTCTTCTTTGGTCATGTCATGTCATGACTAGCTGTTCAACTTATTCAATATCCAAAGGCAAACGATGAATACCTTCTCTAGTACCCCCTGCTCTACACCCCCAGCACACACTCCCTCTCAAAAGTGTTGAATATAATTGTTCAAATAAAAAAAAGACCACGGTCTTGGTTTTTCACCATGACCGGATGAGCAATTCTGCTATAATTATGAGCTAAGGTAAATACCAAATTTTGTTTCTATAAGTACTTGAGCAAGCAACATAGAGGTTAGTTTTCCACAAATATTTTTCTGATGAATTAATTGACAAAGAAAAGACACACAAAGGAGCTATGAACCTAACTGATGCAAATGTCTTCACATGAAACTAGTATTTGCTGATTTTTTTCAACATTCTCCCAGTTATATCAAAAAAGCACAAGCACACAAACAATAATAATAATGCTTCCTAATTCTCCAGGGCTAGTTTATCTGGCACATATATACACGTGCATATGGCATACACACGTGTGTGTGTTTGTGTGTCTGTGTGTCTCCATTATCCAAAGGAGATACTTCAATGCTAAATGCTGCAGAATTTTTTTACCATATGAGATTAAATTCTGTTCTCAGTTTACTTTGTGTAACTCCGAATAAATGTTACTGATAGTAGCATAACTGAGCACCACAGTGCGGCGAGGGACTTGGCCAGCAGGCCCAGGTGCTGCCTTTGTAAGAGGGTACAAAAAAACCCTCTACCACAGGAACAGTTGATCACACCACCGGAATCAGCATGGCAGCAGCCGGCACTGCCCTCTTGTGCATTATGACTGCCCTGGACACACAACTGCCTCAAGTATGCCCCTGGCCACTCAAGTTAAATGTTTTAATGTTGTTGGCTGAGCCAGTGGTGTGATCTACATTAAAATGAGTTCCTTGAAAAGAACAATAAATAAGGTAATCGATTACCAAAGAAGATCAGAACTAGGTGAACAGAACCAAAGTCCACACATGGATGTTCCCAGGATGCAGTCTACAACCATGCAGCTTACTTTAAGTGGTCTGACTGTAGATAGCATGCCAGATATACAGAAATTCAGTGGTGTCAGGAGCCTGATCTAGGTAAGTCAGAGTGGGGGGAGGGTTAGTGGGTCAATGAGGGAGGGGAGGTCGGTGGCATCCAGTGAGATTGGAGAAGCTGATGAGGGTCTGGGATGTGGGGAGGGGAGGGAGGTGTAACAGGCTGCAGGTTTGCAGCCTGGATCAAATAGGCAGCTGGTAACAAGCCCCTTGCCAAAGGGGCCTCAGCTATCTCAAGAAATCAGCCAATAATGAGGGGAAGTTGACTGGGTGATCAGGAATAACAGGACAGGAAGAGGAAATGAGAGGAAAAGGACCCTGGAGGGGGAAATGGTTACATGGAGAGAGAGGACTCCTCCAAAGAAGAAGAAAGGCTACCGGGTGAGAACTAACCCATACTTTTTGGGGGAGGGGGGCGTCAGCTGAGATTGTTCTATATTTTCTGCTGAGCTCTGTTGTACAGATTAACCCAGGGCTTTAAAACCCTGTGTTGTGGGGCCCAGAAAAAGACTGTGTTGCTGGGTCCAGGCCAAAGACATTTATTTTGGGTTGCTTATACCTTTGACTGAGCCTTGTGGAACAAAAGAACTCAGGATATTAAAAACCTGTGTTGTGCTGCCCAGAAAAAGACTGTGTTGCTGGGATCAGATTTTAGGAGAGGGAAAAAGGGTTCAGAGACTGATTTGTGCCCGGAAGAGCCAGGCTAACCTGGACTGAGCTACAGAGGGGGTGGCAGGGTTTGGGGGGTTTTTTGTTTGTTTGTTTGTGGTTTTTTTTTGGGTTTGGGGGGGGGGGGGGGGGTTGGGTTGGTGGTGCCCAGGGGAAAGCTTGGCAGGATGGGAGGGGTTGGTGGGTTTGTTGGGGCAGAGGTTGGTCAGTCTGGAGGGGGAATTGTCCGTTCAGGGGTGAAGGGATTGGTAGGATAAAGACAGTCTCTTCAGGGTGTGGGAAGAGGGGAAGAAAAAGTGCAGCTCCAGAGCTGGGCTAACAGCTGGGCTTTCCCAGCCCTGGGGCTCTGTTGCAAATGTGTACACACATTCCCAGCCCCTGATCTACACTCGGGCAGCTCACTTTAAACCACATGACTATAAATCACATCCTGCATGTATAAACATTTGCCAATGCTAGGAGTTGGGCCAGGAAACCTATCTAAGTAGGCTGGGGTGAGTGCGGGAAGTGGGGAGTTAGTAGGTCAGGGAGGGGGGAAGGTGAGATCCTGGGGGCAACGGGCTGGTAGGTCTGTGGAAGGGGGTGGGTGTTGTCTGTGCTGTACAAATTCAGGTTAGATTGGCACACGTTAAAATTATCCACTTAGTTCACCTCCTAAGTGAACTGAAGTCAGATTTAGAACTAAATGGGGTGACCATTTTTTTGCCCAGTCTGTCCTTCCTAAATGTCTGTATTGCTTGGCACTTAGATCAACCCAACTCCATATTAGGTCAATCTCAGTGCATGAGCTGCATGTTAGTCACCCAGATAGACTGGGCAGCCATTTTTTGCCCAATTTAACCTCCCAGATTTGTGTGTAGTTTGGCACTTAGATCAACCTAAACCTAGTTTAGTGTAATATCTGCATAGATCCAAAGTCTCTATACTTGGTAGAAAACAAAATCATATTTAGAATGCAAGTACATGCATAAGCCATATTGACTAGTTAATCACAATGATCATCTATGTTTAGCTTGATATGACTGGATCATGTTATGCATGATAGGAAAGAAAGTAAAATGTGTACAATACCTCATTTGTGTAAAAAAACTTTGGAGGTAATGTATTCCTCCATTAATCCTCACTGACAGAAGTCTGACAGTGATTAAAGGCTCTTCCAGTGACAAACTTATGCTTTGTGTTTTCAAATTTAAGGACAAGAGGTTGTGCTGAATGCAATAAATGCCAGTCTCTTATGTTCTCTGGAAGGTAGAGTTTGCCCCCCAAAATATTTTATCTTGATTATGCTGCCATCACTAGTCACAAAGTCAGTGCTTTTCAGAGATTGCAGTACATATACAATACTTTCAAATTCTTGGAATGAGAATTAATACCAGTGGGATTTCATGCTGGATTTACCCCTATGTGCACAAAAGCAGAGCTTGGCCCACAAACACTAAACTGAAAATGCCTATTTATAGACAAAGATAGAGAAAATGTATATTACTAGGTTATGCACAGTAAATAACATTAAAATGGAGGTGAAGGATGAAAGAAAGAAAAATCGGTGAATTTTAGCTTCTAAACAATATTTTTCATTTTTGTGACTTTTTCCATCTTGGCGTCTACTTCTGAGGAAACAGAAAAACATGAATTCTACTTGGTTACATGAACACAACTTCCATGATCTCCCATGAAAGCTGCATCCCTGTAACAGAGAATACAGCTCAGTGGAGTTTAAATTTTTATATGGGCCTCAAACACAAGCACATAACCTACTCTCATTAAACTACAAAGCATTTTCCCATTATTTTTAAATTTGTGCACTATGTTGTAAGGTCTGATCATTCCTACCACTCCTTGTGATGATGGGGCCGGCAGAGATTACAGCATTTCCAGAGGTGCTCAGGGTGCTCCAAGTCGTTCTTCTCATAGCATCTCTTCTTTCTCTGTTGCTGCAAATCTGAGTGGTTAATCAAAACAATCAGTTTTAGAGTGGTGTAGAATTATTGCCCTTCTGTGCTTCCACTCCTAACGTAAGCTCTGTTATAAGCAAGACTACAACTTCAGTTCTATTTCTTGTCTGTATTATATTACTTTGCAATAAAAAGCTACAATATTCCCTGTAAATGCCTAGCTTCCAGTTGTATTTTGCCTCATTTCATTTAGAGAGCCGCAATACTCTCGTGTAAGATCTGTATTATGGTATATTAAACTTTTCAGCAGTTCATTTACCAAAGCTTTGTTCACAGCCAGCTCCCCTACCCAATGTTTTTATACTAGACTAGGGATGTACAAGATGCAACAGTCCAGATTCTAGCAAACCTCTGATGTTAAGGAAAAGATGTATTTGATCACATATCTTCAAGTGACTTCTTGACAATATGATGATGACCTGAATTTTTAAGGAGTTCATGCTTTAGGCCCTGATTCAGCAAAGCATTTAGGCACATATTTTAAATTCTTTGCTGAACTGGGGTTTTGCAGAGTAAATGTTTGTATGTGAGTTGTTTTTTTTTTTTTCAAACAATTTTTATAAAACCAGTAGGTAAAGATGAGCGGGCAACAGAATTGCATTTTATAAGAAGTTCTATGGTTTTGAATTTTTTCCCCATTCAAAACAAAAAGCAAAGACTTCAAATTTCCCATAATTTTTTTTTTAATCTGCTTAATAGATTTGTGTCATTCAGTTGTAACTTCTTTACAACATAGAATTTAAAGTTCTAAATGAAAAGCAATTATGAAAAATCAAAATATTCTGTCCTGAAGATGTCAAAACAAAATGTTCAGAGCCTTGTTCCTATCACGAAAAAAACTTGTCAAAATTCAACATATCACTGTAAGAAGATTCAATTTTGACAAACTCAGCATTTTCCAACAGAAATGTAGTCAGAATATTTTCAAATGGCTCTACTGCTAGCCTGGAAATATTAAAGAAAAAAATCACACTCTACCATGGAAGGGTTAGTTGATTATGCAAGTTCCATCAACACCCCTGCCCCTAATGTTCTTCAAATTTGATTTACCAGGATAATGCCTAGAAATCAGTTGGTAGGTCAGTCCAATGCTCAAACGTACTCCAGTCTTGAGGTTTCTATTGCTATTATTCCAAGCTATTAAATCTGTCATGATGGTTCTTGTGACAGTTCATTTTTCTAAAAGCTAAAATGGGACTATCAACTCACTTTTTTTATAAAGTGTTTGAATAGCTTTCAAAAAGTGATTACTTTTGGTCATTCTCAACAAAGTTAAATTTGAACAAATGTCTTAACAGGTGTCTTAACAATGTCTTAACAAATGTCTTAACTAGCTTCCTTAAAGCTAGTTCCTTAAACTTCAGAGTTTCCAGTACTATTTCACCTGGGTCTGATGGCTTTCAAATACACCCTCACCATAACTATGTGCACATTTTCCAGACAGAAGACAACACATTTGATTCAAAATCAATTGGTTGTCTTCACCTGTACTATCCAGACTATCCTCTACCTTCCTCTAACTCAGTGTAAATTATAGGTATAGAAAATGACCCCACAATTCTGCCCCTCTCAGAGTTCAGGCTGATAAGAGAAGAACCCCAGTGCTAACCTCTCCAAAACTTACAGGCACAAGAAAGGGACAGTCATCTGATCTGCATAGCTTTGTCACACAATGAAGGAAGACCGTAGACATCTTCTGGTTCTTGTGCTTCACAAAGCGGAACACTTCAAAGGAAAACCGGCCCATCTGACTCTTGCCATTTTCAATTATAGTTGTCTGTGGGTCCTTATCACAGCTAATTTGTAGAGAAAATTAAAACTGGGATGACTACATGTATTTCTGTTTTTTAGCTCCCATCTGAGAATAAGGGAACTTAAGTGACAAAATCAAGACGTTAACTGGGTGCATCTACACATGCAATTAATGCAAAGCAATAAACTCTGGGGCATTTTGAGCTGGAATAACCTGCTCCCATGCACAGCATCCATATGTGCATCTGGGACAGCAGCAATTTGAGCCAGGGTAGAGCAGGCCCCCACCTGGCTGGGCTGACGGGGCACAATTTATACCCCCAGCTAGTGTCTACACATGCATTTCAGTACAGTAAAGTACTCCGCCGGAAGGTAGTACTGTCCCAACAATACTACCTTACAGCAGAGTTAATTAGTTTACTGGGTTCTAATATGTGTAGACAGCAATGCTTTACTGTAGAGCTAACTAGTCTATGCAGTAAAGTGCACATGTAGATGTATCCACTGTGAACAAAGTAAGACAGCACCTCAATAACCAACTGTGAGCTTCTTGTTCCTGCTATGCAAAGTCAAGTGCCTAGATGATAACGAGCTATAAGTAGAAAACCAGTCAGACAGTGAATCACCAGGGATATAGCTCTCAGAGTCATAATTACCATTACAAACACTCAAAAGGATCTATACTCATCTTTATTAGGCATTCAAGGTGTCATATTTCTAATACTTTCTTTAGGCAATGCACTCATCTATAACTGACTGGGATGCAGTGTTTTGAGGTAGCTAGGCCTGACCTTAAGGTCTTTGCTCCCATTGATGCCAGTGGGTTTTGCTTTACTGCCTGTATTTTTAGCTAATACAAATAGCTAGATGTTCAGAAATACTGAACACTGGAAATCATGCCTCCTTAATATTGTATGGCTAAGATTTTTGCAGGGTGACTTGATTTTTTTGAGGACATGAGGCCACAGCACAGAACAGATAAGATGTCTTGCTATGGTACTAGAGGGCTGCGTTCAAGTTCTGCCATGGGCTGTAAATGAGTACCTGGTCATTCAGGCTGGGAAGCCAATGGTGGCTGGACTTTAAACCCGTTACATTACTCTCTTGTATGCCACTGAGCAAAGAAAAAAGTAGCAGCTAACCACATTAGTCTGAAGTCAGGTCAAAGGCAAGGTAGAGATGCACCTTATAGACTAACTAAATCAGAGATACATACGCTTTTGTAAGCCCGAGCTATAAGGTACATTAAGTAAGAAACATATGCATCTTCACCACTCTAGTCTAATGGGCCATTTGGGTTAACTAGATCAGTGGTTCCTAACCTTTGTTTTTACTGTGGCCCAGTGGGAGCAGGACAGGGCACACAGAACCAGGTGCCTGCCTCCCAGGGCTCCCCCACCACCCAGCTTTAACCCCAGAAGCTCAGCTGTGACCCCAAAAGCCACTTGCCTGGGCGGACAGACGGGGCTCTGAGCAGGGGGCTCGTGCCACAACCTCACAGTCAACCCGCCACACCCAGTACCTCTGAACTAGACTTTCTTTCAATAGGGTTCAGCTGTACCTGTGTCAGATTTGGCCTACCTCCCCAGGGGGAGACAATAAGTGAAAGGCAACCAAAAAGAAATCAGGAAATGAGACGTGTGGACACGTGAAATGCTGATTGATTTAAATGAAGTTTAAACCTGAAAAAGACAGTCATACAAACCTATTAAACCACTCTAAAGCTGCCTGAAACTGTTCAAAAGTGTACCTGGAAAATACAGTACTCTTCTAAACTGGTTCACAGTGCACCAGTTTAGTGTTACCTGTGGACACAAGCCATTGCACGACATGGGTATGGTCAGTCCTCCAGGCATCCCTAACTTTATTGCTTCATACCACATTTCCCCCTGCCGCAACTGGCCACTTTGGTACTTGGCCAAAACTTTACTGCTCCCTTTTTTTTTTAAACCTTTGTTGGCACTTTTAAAAATAACAACAAGCTCTCTTGAACTGTTTGTTTAATAAAAGCTATCTTTCTACCAGCCAGCAATGTCCTTACTTCCTTCTTGACTGAAACCCCTCATCATGCCCCCAACCCTCAGGACCCAAAAGCATGGGTCTAAGCACTCCTGCCCACCCTGGGCACCCCAAGTCAGGTAAGCACACTGCAAACAAACTTTGGTCAACTGCAGGCTAGTGCAGGTTACTGAATTCATGTTTAGGAGAGAGGGGAAAGCAGAAAAATGAAAATGCTCCAGCCATAGGCCATCCACCCTCTGGGACCTGTAAAACATGGGTACAAGTACTCTCCCCAACCTACGCACTGTATAGCATGCTGGGCTGGGCATTTTCTCACACATCCTGGTGTCAGAGCCACAGCACCTTAATGCCTAAAACGTGACTGTTTTGCCTGGAACACTAAAACAGTGTGTGTCTGTACACCTCTAACCCACAACAACTCTGAACCAATTGGTGACATTTGGAATTGTTTTCCCAATTGGTGTTCCAATCAGTGACATTTGGAATTGTTTAAATTGTTATATGTAACCACACCCTAGGAATCAGGCCTGGTGAGGATAAAAGATAAAGATAACATATGAGTATGTGCCTTGATGCTGAAAGGAGGGCTACAAAAGGGATGCTGTCTTCTGTAGAAGCATTTGAAAGGTCTATGAGAACTGAAGAAGTCCACTAAAAGGGGTTGACAGGCAAAGGGCAACATGACTATGCAAAGGAGTTTGGGCAGCTGTCTGTTATACTCTTCGGCCTCGCAAAAGCCCAGGAGCTCACATGGGGTAAGGCAATGAAAACATAAAAAGGAACTGTATTTCATCTTCAATTTAAAATCCATATCTTGAAATTAAGTTCTTTACCATTTTAAGTAGGAAACAGCCTCTAATTACCAAGTTTGATTCAACACTGAATTTCCCTAAAGTTCATGTGATCTTGGTTTCCAATTTGGCCTATATCTAACGCTGAAATGCATGTATAGGCACACACATTTCTTTGAAGAAGTACTTTTAGAAAAGACACAGCTTAAAAATTTAGGTTTTCTTGTCTTCAAACAACTTCTCAAATGCTACAAATGCCCACCAAAATGAGGTTACCCTTAGTGACACAAAACTTTGTAATTACAGCGCATCAGAACAGACTCATTTAATCCAGTGTGCTGGAGTGTGCTAATTAGCGTGCTTCAGCCGGGCTCTGTGTCTTGCGCATCAGTATCCCCACATTTCAAAATGGTGGTGGGAGTGTTTTAACTAAAGCTCGTTCGATGAGCTTTAGATAAAGCACCCCTGCCACCATTTTAAAGTGTAGGGATGCTGATACATGAGATGCTGCAGGCACTTTAAAATGGAGCACATGTAAAATGCCCAGAATGTCTCCATGCTGGTTCCATTTAATTCAAATTTACCAAGCAATTTTGGGTCCCAAAGAAGATAATTGTCAGGTAAGGTGATAAATGCATATAGGCACCTCCAACTGAATGTAGCAGCTCAGCCAACAGTCATTCATAAGATGCCCTTTTTTCCATCTTCATATCCATTTCTACACCTCCACAGTTTTCACTTGTGTACACTTGTGTGACATTTATGTTCACAAATGCTAGATAAGCGGCTAACAAGGTATTTGTGAGATTGACCTTTAGCAGTCTCTTAAGACTGCTCCTGTCTGTCAAGCAGTCAAGTCAAACAGTATTAGAGATATTTATAACATCGGTCATAAACAGAGGTCACACAAAAAGGCGGGTTTGCAAAGTACCTACCTAAAGAAGAGATCATAACGAAGAAAGTCATTAGGATTACCAGATGGAGTGGTATAACAATAGTCCATCAAAACATTCCATCTGCATGGGGAGGAATTTAATCAATTATCAGAAAAAAGATTAAAAACAGGAACGTGATACATGCAGGTGTACAGACTGATAACACTGGCTTGGGAATTGAACCTATGTTGTTACACACAATTATGGGTTGCACACAGAATTCTTGCACTCTCATTGAGACCATTTTATCGCAGTATAATTGCTTTTTATTTTTCTCCATCATTTAAACTGCTCAGAAGTGTATATCGTGGTATATAAATGGTACAATACAGATGACATGGTTTTACAACCCCTGTCTGTGCCATAATGAAGGAGCTACAATAAATCAAAGACCACATCACAATTCATGGCTATCATTTTGTTGCACATGATTTCCTCTCAGAATTTCATGGCAGCATTGGGATAGAACTCAGACTCTCCAGCAGAGAGAGGTTAATGAATCTCACACACTAGCTACTTCATTACTTTACATAAAAGACTGGGAAAAGCCACTCTTTATTCAGATTATATTTATGCTGCTAAAGAGGTGAGAAATTGGAAAGACAAGAAACAACACCCTTTTACAGTACCTGCCATCAAGGTTGGTTGCTCTCACAGCTGCATATATTTTTGTTTTCAAAGGTAAACCTGTACTAGGAATAATCAGCTGTTGGCTGTAGGTTGAGTCCTGGAAAAACAAACATTTGCTGTCACATACAAGAAATTTCAATCTACAACTTAAAAGCTCCTGCTTAGTTTTCTGAACGATCTGTATCCTTGTGCTTCTGGCTGTTTACTGCATTCATACCTCTTACTTCTTGTGAAAAGACCTGGAAGGATGGCATCTGCTGATGAATAGAGTGGAGTGTTGCTGTAGCCATGATGGTCCAGAAAATATGCAAGAAACAAGGTTTTGGGGTGATATCCCAACTGTATAATTGGAAGAGATGCTAGGCAAGTTTCTGAGCATCAAGTGTGCTTCTTTGCATGAAGAAGGTGAGTTGAAGAATGGCTGAATGGCATATGATGCCCAAAAGCTTGTTTATATCCTTCTCAGCTATACAATTGGTTCAATAAAAAAATATCATCAAAAAATCTTGCTTCTATGAACAGGTTGGCTCTTGGTACCTGAATAGATTGGATCGGGTGAAATTAGGGAATCTGTCTTTGTGTAGATGTGATTTTTGTTTAAATATTATGAAATTGTTCTATCAGCTTCTGCTCAATGTGTAACAAGTCTGTCATTGACCGGGCACGTCCCTACTAGAGACCTCACCCACCCTGTCTCATAGAAGTTACAGCACAAACAAGAAGGAATTAACCTCCCTTGACTGCTCAGATGGGACAATGAAGAGACTCTGAGTTGAATGAAAATCAGGTCAAGCAAGCTTACATGCAGGAAGAAAGGAGTAAAATGTGGAACAACAACAATTTGGAGAATAAAGGGATAGGTGTGTCAGGACTGGAGTTCAAAAAAGACAAATGCTTTTAGAGGAAGAGAGTTGTTTTTATGTTAAAGCTGAGGGACCAGCTAAGATCAAAGGGACATAAACAATGGGTGGACTCCATGTTGAAAGGGAAAGGACTGGTGGGTGTCCAGAAGGAGGAGCTTGACCAAGAATGGGACAATGAGCCTTGCTACCCATGGTTTTACTGTCAGCTGAGTTAATGCAGGTGGCAGAATATCAAGGTTTACACACCACAAGATACATGAGGATCTGAACAGATATTTTGAACCTTGCTACAGACTGTCATATCATAATATAATAATAAAGCTGTATGGGGCCACATAGGATTATGTAGTCCAACCCTCCTGCTCAAGGCATACAAAGGGTATGTGAAGTGGACCATATTCAATTCGGATTCAGCCTGGTTTGGGGGACAGTGATTCAATTTGTTGATTCAGATCACTGCCCTGATTCAATTCAGTCAAATCCAAATCTGAAGATTCGATGCTGATTCAGAGAATCAGTGATTCAGCCAGACACAGCTCTAAATGTTTTTTTTTACATACGTCGAGGTACTAGACGCAGCTTGTGAACACCGAGATGATGGGGCAGATGAAGCGTCCCCACAGGAGCACAGGGGGGCCCCTTGCTTGCTCAGTGGCACAACCCCCCTGCACTCACCCAGCTCAGTGATTGGCCATGGGGGGACCCCGGGTGCCCCCCCAGACCCAGGAGGCACCAGTTGCCAAGCTGAGGAGCAGAGGGAAGGTCCACTGTGTGGTCTGTGGCGGACCCGGAAGTGGACCAGAAGTGCTTCTGGTCCACTCCCAGGTCCACTGCCGAGAACACTGGAGACCCCGCTGTGCTCCCGTGGGACACTCCATGCACCCCACCATCTCAGCATTCACGAGCCGCCTGGTACCTTGAGGTATGTAGAAAAAACATTTAAAGCTGTGTCCATGTCTAAATCATCAAATCTCTCTGAATTGATTCGGAGGGTTCTTATTTGATTCAGAGAGATTAAAGGATTTCCTGATTCGATTTGGATTTGGAGATTCACCTGCCAAATAAAGCCAAATCTCCGCCGAATTGAATCATCAACCAAAGCTTTGCACAGCCCTAATAATCACCCGTCTAAACCATTTCATCCAAGTGTTTGTCTAACCTGCCCTTAACAACTTTCAATAAAGAAGATTTTGCAACTTTAGATCATCTGTTTCAGTGCTTAACCATTCTTATAGTTAGAAAGTTCTTCCTGATATCCAACTTACATTTCCCGTATGACTTAAGATTATTACTTCTTGTCCTTTCCCTTGGGACCACAGGGAAGAATCCATCACCATCCTCTTTATAACCACCCTTTTTCTATTTGAGGATTGTTATTAAATCCCTTCTCAATCTTGTCTTCTCAAGTTGTTTCAACCTTTCCTTCCCAGTCATGTGTACATCTTTGTTGAAATGTGGTGCCCAAAGCGGGACACAGTATTCCAAATGAGACCTCACCAGTGCTGAGCAGAGTGGAAGAATCACTTCCCTTGACTTGCAGATGACATTTCTGTTAATAGCTTTAATGGAAGCTAGTTTGCTGAAAGTTTTAGACAAATATATATATATATATATATATATATATAAATACCAGCTTTCAAAGGCTCCATTTCAATCATAGTGTAAGATATTTTAAATGTGCTATATTACATCACTGAATTGTAGATTCTGGTTCAGAGGCTGAGTCATCCATGTCACTTTAGCACTGATGTACAGTACCAGAAAATAAATATGGAGTGACAGATATAATTTATCGTGTCAAAATACACTTATGGGCAACATCATTTAATAATGATGCCACTGAACTTCAGGAGGGGAGCTCAAGATATCAGAAAAAAGGCCTCTAGAGGAGATTATAAACACCCAAGACATAGAAGAAACTGCAAGACAGGATTTTGAAAATGGAGATTGTCCCAATAAACCAGCCTAGTATGGCAGGCAACACCAAAAATATGATAAAGATTAAATTAAATATATAGGCCATGTGGCTTTTTAATGGAACATAAACACACACAAAAATCAAGTATCTCAACCTATGCTGTCAAATTCTTTAGAATGGAAGAGGGAATGAGATAAATTTGCTTTGGAATTTTAAACTGAGCTGCAAAATTTCATAGCAAGAATAAATATACTTTTCAATATTTTTTTTAATTGGTTAAAATTCAATAGAAAGGATGCAGTGCTTTCAAAAGATTCGTAAAGTAATTTTTCTAGGACTCTTGGTTTAGGCTGAAATTTGCAACAAGAATATAAGAGCTATAGATGGGCAGTGAAATCCCATAAATCCTTTTAAAAATCACAGCCTTCATCCCTCTAAAGCTGTTTAGGACCTTTTCATCAAAGTTAGTTTTGTGTTTGCTTCCAGAATTCATGCAGATGAGTTCAGGTAAGGAAATTCTACTTAGGAAAAGGCATAAGGTAGCACAACAAACTGAATAAAGTTAGCTTCCAGGAGGGGTAAAAGCTTTGAATAAGGAGTGTAAATATTAGGGAAATAAGTGGTAAATAAATAATATATTGTAAATTTTTAAACATAATTGCATAAAGCATTTTGAAACTCAGAAGAAGCTATGTACATGAAACACCTTTGGAAAATGGTACATATATGGCCTTCATGCTGGAGAATATTTGCAAATGGCTATTACACAGAGCCCAATATAGGCTATGTAAAATTCTGTGTACAATAGCATACCTTACTCCTTTTCATTTAAAAAGGTGATTTTTCTCTTTAGTACCACAACGCTTGATCATGCACAGCACTGTGATTCTCCTAAGAGCATTTCACAAGATCAAAACCAAGCTTACAATACCAGTGAGTTTATTCTTATTACTTGAATACCTGAGGTCTGATTCTGCTCCCATTGACTTTAATTGGGCAGAAGCAGGCTCTTTAAATACTTAATAAATGGGCACATCCAGGGAAGGGATTAATTTATTTTACTATTGTGTTACTGAGTTTTTTTGTATATGGTCCTTTTGAACATACTTGTACTAGTGCATGAAAACATTAAAATATTAATTAAAATGTAACCAGTAACAATGAAACATCAATCTAGGACTTATGTTTGCCAAAGTTGAGATAATGAAATGAGCAAAACATAAGTTTAGCATTTTTTCAAGATTGCATACATTTCTGTATCTAAAGTAATTCAGAATAAAGATTCTGTCACCCACACAAAACTCTAGCCCCAAATGCAATGCAGTTTGAACAGAACATGTTACATTTCAAACTTACAGCTATGAATGTAGCTGACATACATATTACATTACATGCCCTTGTTAGGCTATAATTCAGGAAGGCATCACTGTCCAGAATTGCACTTATATCCCACTGACTTCTGCAAATCCTGAAGCATGTGCTTAAAATTATGCATGTGATTAAGTACTATCCTAAATCTAAAACTAAAGGCTGCCTCTTTACTTAGGAGTGTCCTTTGTCAGTAAGCAGTCCCCTGGAAATCAAAGGAAATTTTTTATTCATCAGTATAAAGTCACTGGGAGACCTGTATGGATAACGGGGTGCTGGTCTATCCAGAATCAAAGTGTACCAGTCTTAGGCTCCTACATGTTAACCACAGCATAAAATGGCAAGGGTGCTATATGCACACCCAATTTAAAGCACCATAAAATGGCAAGCAAACCATAAAAATGTTACACACACAATGCAGAACATTTTTAGGGATGGCTTATATAGCACCTTAAAATTGAACAGGAAGCAGTTCTGGGACTGGGGCCAGCAATCAGCTGATTGCTGACTTCGGCCTTAGGACCATATCCAGGCTGGTATGAGACCTTGATATGGTTCTGGGCCTGACAATCAGCTAGAGCCACCTGGTATCATCCCAAGCTCTTCCAGCACTGGCAAGTAGAAAGGACGTAATTGGGATCTGATCCCCAAGTCCAACAACTGTACCTTTAAATGAACATGTGTCAAGGGCCTTAGTAGCAACAACCATGTTAAAAAGTGACTTAGATATGCAAGTAATTTCACTGGAATCAGAGGGAATAATATTCATTCTAATTCTATACTTTTTGAGGCAAGGATTGTCATTTTATTCTATGTCTGGAGACCCATGGTTGGGGTTCCTAGACACTTTCACAAAAAAGTCTTAGTATTGCAGGGTGGGCCACTGGCCATCAGTGCATCACCAATATTCCCAACATTCACTTCCTGTGCTTCTGAGAAACTTACCTCCCTCCTTTTGATTGCAAGCTTATTTAAAAATGCAAGAAATATTATCTTCCTTCTAACATATTTTAATTTGTTTTTCAGGACTCTGACCTGTCAAACAAACTTACAAACAATTTAAAAAAAATAAAATGCCTTTGGAAAATGTCCTGTTACAATATTTATAGCTCATTATATTCAAAGTATAAAGCATTGACTTTTAAATTAGTCGCATGAATTATAACTCATCGTCATCATGACATGAATAATAATGCAAAAATCGGATTCATAATTTATAAAAATGTTGCTTGATAGATTGAAAAATTGATATTTAAATCAGGTATTTAAAATGTATGAGTAAAAATTTTAATCAACACAAAAATATCATTTCAGGGATTAATGTTGCTATTAAGTAGAAGTCTGTACATTTTTCACGTGTTACTGTCACTGTCCATATTTACATAATAAAAGTTTGTACAATAATATGTATTCAAGCCATATTATCTCAAAGGTATGAAAGAGGCATCTGCAATCAAAAGCTGCTATTAAAAATGTTAACCCTTGCAATATTCAAAGTGCATGCAAATGAAGCAATATTTATCAAAACTTGATTGAAGGGCAGGGGGCAGGTGGAAACTCCATAACCTTCACTCCTATTTTATATGGTCAGTTTGACAAGGGTTGACCATATTCATGCTTGCAAGACATTTGGGGCGTTACAGACTTAACACTTTTATTGGTGAAAGTGCTTGGAAACCAGTCAAAACTCGTAATAGTGCAGAAGTTTGGTGCACAGACTAGTTTAAAAATGGCAGAACCCAGTCTAAGATAGGCCTGGATCAATGTGCATTCAAACTTAAACAGTTTAGGTTAGACCAGGGGGCTGAACTTAATAGATTTAGGTTAGACCCAGGAATTGGGGCCAGTGGTAGTGTATCTCCCTGTGATGGTGGCTGGTGGGGGGCCATAAAGGAACCTGGGATGCCAGCTGACAGTGACCTAACAGATACAAGATCAATTCATATTAGATCACTGCCTGCCGGCATCCCAGGTGCCTTTGTGGTCCCTCTCAGGGAGGTGCACTACCACTCGCTCTGCACTTCACTGTTCCAGTCAAGTGCCTAGCTAGTTCCACCCCAGGGCGTTCACAGAGCCAAGCCAGCACAGCAGCTGATGATGATGAGGGAAGACAGGGAAGGGGTTCTCAGCCATGTCCTGCAGCCCAGTAGGGCTCCCTGGGGCTGTGCCCACCCAAGCACCACCATGCTTCCTGTGAATGGGTGCAGCCCCAGGGAGCATGAAGCACAAATATGGGTGCCTCCACTGCCTGACTGCAGCTGACATGCCTGCAGCTGATGATGATGATGGGAGGGAGGCGAGTGTAAAATATGTGCTCAGCAGCCAATCAGGTGTGGCTCAACTGCTTGGCTGCACTCGGCAGCCTCCAACAGCCCGGGGAGCCCAATGGGAGATGTACAGGAGCACCTCCAACCTGCTGGTCTCAGCCAGTGCGGGTAGCCTGCACACCCCTCCTCCCCCCAACCACCAAGGGGTGAATATGTGTTCTGTTCATTCCTGGACTAACCTACTCAGCTTACAGAAACCTGCATAAGTTTGATCAATTCTACCTCAGGCTTTTTGAATGTCTGTATTTAGCCTTAATATATCATCATCATTAACAGTAATACCATTTGAGCAAATTTAGAATACATTTTCCAAAATGCAATAGATAGAAATATTGTATAGGAACCAAGGATACCGCATAGATAAAAGTTCTAGGACATCACTGCTATTATTAGTTGTATTGCAATGGAACAGAGCAATCTCAAACATAACTCAAGACCCCGTTGTGTTAGGAGATGTACAAATGCAGATCAAAAAGACAATCTCTTCCCTGAAGGACGAGACAATGGTTACGAGCATGAAGGGGGAAAAAAAGGCCAGGTAAAAAGGAAATAAATGACACCTGTATGTAAGGCTTGTTTCCCTCATAAGGGAGAACAGGACATGATGAAGACATAAAGATCTTACTTGTGGTCTTGTTAATGGGAGTTATACCCATGAAATTCAAAGAAAGATTTACTCCAGATAGCCTTATTGGTTTTTATACTTACATTGTAAAGCAGCAAATTCAAAGTGCTGATAAATGTACCATTGTTCTCTCTTACAGAAATAGCAGCTGATGACCTGAAACAGATTTAGAAACCAGAAACTACTGAAGAAGATGAAGCAATTCTTTTCTACTCTTGTGTTTTTACATTTCAGGGTTTCTTAACTGCTAAATCAGACCTTGCAACACATCACAAGGAGTAAGTGTTTAGGATTGGGTTGTAAACCTCAGAAAATAAGGATTTATTGTGAAGACAACAGCAGAACCTTAGCTACACTGGAAGTAATAGATGCTATTAAGAACATGAATCAGGAAAATAATTAACAGAGGGGCAAAATGACCAAAAGAAGACTTTTTTCCATGATGTACAATGTCTACTCAGGAAAAGTATTCTGTTGCAATACCCATTCATATAGTAGCCTTCCTAAAAAAATGTATTTCATAGGAATTAAAATTTGTATGCAGATACTTTTCTGTCATAGAAAAGAAGTATTTTGGAAGAAAATGTTTCATTAAATTAGGCAACAAAATATAGTAGCTTCAGTAAACTATTTTTTAATAACAATTCTACAAAGTGTTCCTTTCACCTTTCTCCCTGTCACTGTCACATCTTTTACAATCTTGAGTGTTACTTATTTCACCAGGAATAGACATCCCTCATTTTATATAGACAAATCTCAATATTATATTCATGTTGATATGCGTGCATATTGTGTTTATGTACATGGCTGGGTGGTATGGCAAACTAACGCATACTTACGAAGCAAGCTGGGTATTGTTGACCAAGTACTCCAATGGATAGCTACAACTAAATTTGTACAGAAGCCCAGGTAAATAGCTGATGATTGTTGGTGGATCTGGTGTATCTATATATCCTGAAACATTACCTATCTGTACCATTGATACATTCCCATATGCATTAACTCCTGGAACTGTGGATACCTGTTGAGAGAGATATAAATCTGAGTGTTTTTTTGTTGGGGGGGGAACAACAACAAAAGTCAAATTTTATGAACCTGTCAAGCCTCAAGTCATTGTTCTAAACTACAGAGGATTTGGACCTCTCTAGAGAGGCAATTAGGGATTTTTTTAATTTCATTTCAAGGGCCAAATCAGTTTCAAATTCTATTGGGTAAATTCCTATAGTCAGGTTCCAAATTTCGACTGAGCAGAGCACAGTCATTCAAATCTCAAGTCTGTGTGGCTCTGCCAGTGGGCAAGTATCCTCCCTCCCAGACTCATCAGTCTGGGGCTTCATATACTCCCCAAATCCATGGCATGCATCCTACATGTAAGCCCTAAGCCCAGAGGCCCTGGGGTTTGGATGCCCCCTACTCTTGCTTGCTCCTAGCCAAAATCCCAAGGAGCAAGCCAGGGGGGAAGCGAGAATGCAGTCCCTCATTCAGTACCATACCTAGAATCCTGGCAGCTCCTGGCTAACTTTTAGTATCAGGCTCCCCTTCACCATGGGTAATGATAATAATAATAAAAAAAACCAAAAACATTTTCAGGCCCCCTTTCTGTCCAGGCCCCAGGCAGCCACCTGGTTCACCCAGGCCTGTGTCCAGCCCTGCCCCCATTACCACAAAATTGTGCAGTCAAGTCTCCTGCATTTGGAAAAGCTTGCAGGGGTCAGCTTGCCCAGAGTGCAAGGAACAGGCCTTGCCTTATAACTACACTTGACCAGCTGATCGTGGTATGTCCCTCCCTAGGTAGGTAATTAGGAGAAATTATTGACATTATCAAAACTATTTATATTTTCATAAGGTCATTCTTAGAAACAGTTGAACAGCTTTGGCTGAAACTTTAAAAATAAAATGCATGCTGATACATATAATACTCATAGGGCTCATCTCATGAGATGTTTACCGTGGACCTGCCTAATTAGCTCCACAGTAAATGTCTCAGCATCTATACATGAGGCTTTATTAGGGTCTGACTCAGCTATCATTTACACTGAGTTACACAGGTATGAAACAAAACATCAAATTCAGGCCCTGACTGAGATATTGAGTATAATAAATGTGTGGTTCTCTACTAAAGACCAGATATCAGAGTAATTTATTCACCACAGATGAGAAACCAAACTCTTTGGCTCCAGAAATACTTCCCATTTCACAGCTTAATCAATTGTTCACACTATTTAGACATCCCTTCTGCACATTAAATATATGATGCATTTAACTGGTGAATTGTGTAATAAGTTTAGCCCAGCCACCTGGGCGAAGTTATTATCACATGATAAAAGTGACCATCTATAAAAGAGCCATCCAGCTACAAAGTTAGTGTTTGAAAATGTGTAACAACTCTATAGCTGATTTCTATCCAGCTTTAATTTGAACATGAAGGAGGGTCTAGACTTCCTTACTTCTGCTCGCCAACCTCTAGAGAACAACATAAACACAGATATTTGAACCAGCCTCATGCCATCCAACATAGCCCTGTGCTATGCTCCTGGATGGTATATAAAGTAAAAATTACAGCTGAGTAAGAATAGAAATATCTGTCCCAGGGGAAATGATAATGTCTTGATAATTGTGTTTGTCATGAACAAGGATGAAAAAAGATCCTTAGAACATATTTTTTTTAATTTTTTATTTGGTTTCAATTGGTTTTAGGTCCATTCAGCACCAAAGGAGACTGGTGCATTGTCTCATGTGAGGTATAGTTCAGATGGCTGCTGTACCCATTCCTCTGGAAGGGTTGGAGTTCCTAACCAAGCTACATTTTCCCATGATGCACCACTGCATCAGAGGGGGAACTATGTTGCATCTCAGCCCAAAACCCTGGCCTACAGGAGAGAATAGAGCTATCCAACTTCCCATTTTGTCTGGGTAAAGAAAAGAAACCCCAAATTAAATATTTTGTTTTGGTTTTCTAAATGGAAATCCAAAATGTATCGGTAAAATTCACTGTTCCCAATGAAAATTCTAAATTTGCCAAAAATGGCACTCTCCATCAAATAAATAAATAAGATAAATTCATCAGAGAAAAATTCTAAGTCAATGAAGTCAAAATATAAATTTCTTGGCTATTGCTCTTACCTAGTCCTCAAATTCCTGTTCACCATCAAGATGCCTGGCTATCAATTAAAAGTAAATATTATTGTAAAGAAATATCTGAACAATGTCTGCCAATGAAAGATCCTGTGTATCACATATGTGTATTCTATGCACAATTAGCATTGTCACCGTTTCACTGAGATCTTGCCTTACCACTAAAGTGTTTCCACAGGTTTCCAAAGTGCTCAGATTGATGATGAAAATGACCACTGCTGGAAAGGTGTTGTTATTGATAAACCCCCTGCAGTGAGCATCCCCATGTTTCCCATTCAGTGCCAAATCTGTTTCAGAATAGCCGGAAAAAAGAACTGTGCAAAAATTAATCTTCATAGTAATTGCCTGTACTCCACAGTAGACATTGATATCTCTTTCAGCTGCAACAAAAATGCAGAAAGATGTAAGAAGTTGCATTTCAAGTAACAGCCCTGTATGAATACTAAAATAACAGCTATGACAGTTAATTTGGATATATTCTAAATAATTCTCAACTCTGTCCTTATGGAGACTTGCTACTCTCAGAAGAATATCAGGAAAAGTTGCTAAAGTTTTGTTATAATTATACAGAACTTCACTAATCTGTTCTTTACCTTGACAGGAGAATCAAATGCATCAACAGTGTAATCTACCATATAGTGAGATGATTACACAAAAATTCACTGTTCACGAAATCAAACAGACAGGCAATGCAAAGAGATAGAAGCTGTCAAGTGATCAAAGTCCACTCTGGCAATCCTCACATGCTTATGATGGCCAAAGTTTTCAATAGCAATTCAAGAGGCTGAGTTTTGCCCTCCAGTACACTTGTACAACTCCTGTGAGAAACCACATGTGCATATTTGAGGCAGGATGGGGTCCCCTTGGTGCAAGACCTACAGGCCCAATCAGTACAACTAATCGCTTTGAACTTCAGTTAACAGTTCATGAAAGCAACTTACTGCAGCACTTCCATTTTTTTTTTTTGTTTCAGAACTGTCACCCTGAGCATTAACAAAAAAATCGGTTGGCTTGTGAGAGGTAATGATCAGTGCTGTAAAATACGTTGGCACTTTATCAGATCATACATTATGATGATCCAAAAGATGGAGAAAACGGCAATTACTACAACTAATCTTTTTTTGTTTTGTTGTGTTTTGATTTTGTTCATATAAAACAGATGAAAACATTGCCTTTCTTCCTTGAAAATTTTGAGACTCTTGTGATCTCCAATGAAAACCTGAAAGCATCACATTAGGAACAAATGATGGTTTTGTTTAGCTACTATGCAGGATAATGTAGCTCTTATCTTCAAGCACGCTTCTAATGGCAGACTATGAAACATTTTTGCTAGTGCTCTACAAAATGACATCTTTCATTGAGTTAAATGCAGGCATTACTCCTTTAAACAACAACTAATTTATTACTGCTCCTCAAAGATTTAGTGCTATTAAAAATGGCAGAACAACCTGAGTCGGATTAAATTAATTGTTTTGCTGCATTGCTACAACAGAGGGGAACTGAAGTCTCCATTACAATACACTGACTCTTCCGAATGGCACAAAGGTACGTACAATTTCATACAAATAGCCTTAATGGTGGTACTAAAGTAAAAAATAATCAAGGACAGGACATGATAGGCCAAACACTGTCCTGAAGTACATGATGTTAAACATTACACACAAAACATAATCTAGGTGGAAATGGTTATTGGAAGCAAAGCAGGACTTGGAGGGGTAGATTCAGTATATAATTCTCCTGCATTCCTATTGAGTGGAATTACTTGCAATGCCTAATGAAGAAAATCAGGTCCTTCATATCCAGGAGGGGAGGATGAAGTGTAATTCAGTCCAGTTGGATCTCAAGGGGAGGGAGCAGCAGGATAAGAGGGAATACCAGGACAATGTGTCATTACAATTATCTTTCAAACCTGCAAGCAGGATCCAAAAACTACCCTCTTCCCTAACTTCTTGTAAAAAGTGGTTTTACTTCACAATTACAGTCACTTTCAAAATCCCCATATACTTTAAAGGACTTAAGGGGCTATATGATTTATATATTATTATATCAGGAATACATTGCAGTGGCCCTTATAAAACTGAGACTTAACCCTGTCTAATTCGCCTGTTCTGCAACACTGAACCCAGCATATATGTTAGAGGCATGTGTGAATCCAGGTGTAAATACACCTACATGTCTCTGAATGCTGTAGTTCAGGATCATGTCTTTTCAGTTCATGATACTGAAAAATACTAACTGTGTATGTGTGTGTACACATACACCCCTCCCCACCCAAACAAATTGTTTTCCCCCATAAACTATGAGAAGTATACAAAAAGATTCATGACTATATGGCTAAGTACAGACAGTAAAAAAGCCTGACGCTAAATTGTTTCATCTTCGCAGGTTAGTCTAAGCTGCATAGACTGAACCGATAAGCAAGTGAACTCATTCCATTTCAATTCTGGAAATTCAGCCACATGCCTGCAGTGGGCCAGGCCAGAATCCGGGGGGGGTCTAGAGCACATCTCCCAGCTCAACTGCAGACAGCAGACAGCTTGGACCAAGGCTGGCCCACCCACCCTGTGAAGGGGGAGTTGTCAAGAAGGTGCAAAGCATCCTGGGATTCTGGGGGACCATAAGTTAACTTGAATCTGAAAGGGACCTGGGACAGAATTTCAATAAACCAATTTAACCTAAATCAGTTCAGTCTGATACTACATCCATCCAGGTTTATCTTAAACCAGTTTTGGCTATTTTGAAAGTGGTTTTTGTACACTGAACTTCTGCTGTGTTATAGATTTGAACCAGTTTCCTATCATTTATAGCCTATAAGATAAATTCATGGCAGTCTGAGCGGTCCTTAGCTCAGTTTAAGTCAGGCACATTTTTTATCTTTTGCCTTACTTTAGAACTATGTGAGTGGTTCTCAAACCTTTTTAAACTCAAGGCACCCCTTGTTACATTCAGGTCACCTCTCAGAAAATGCCAGCTCTTAGCATTCACTCAATTTTTTACTACAAAAAAATAATATAGCATTTTTTCTGCTGCAAGGAACTCAGAAAAATCACAATAGATTGGAAATGTTTTTGACACTATGGATTCCTATCTAAAATCTCTGGGTTTATCTTATGAATCATGTTTAGGTGCCTGCAGACCTAACAGTACTAATATTGCATGGCATCCCACAGCACTCTTAGAAGGATTTTGCAACATCCCAGCTGGATCTCTGGCTTATGGAAAAATGTACTGAAGACTAAAGCAGATCAGAACATTGGTTGGAATTCTGTTATATCAGAAATAGCTGTTCCGTGGAAGTCAGAAATGTTTTGTGGGGATGTATTTATCTTGGGGAAATTTTCATCAAAATGGTTTTTAGGGTTCAGTGCTCTCTGATTGCTTCTGATGAGAGCTACCTGAATTGCTAACTTGAGTTTTACAATCCAAAACAGTCATTTTGACACAATTCTTTTCCTCAAAGCTTTTTTAGAAAGTATTTCTTTTTCATTCTGACTCACAACAAAAAAAAAAATATATATATATATATATATGAATCTCAGCTCTTGTCATGAAAAAAAATGGTCCTTCTCCAGAAAAGCTCTGTGAAGACCTCAGGTATATGATCCCATTACAGATTTGTAGACCAGGTCTAGTCTTCAATTAAAAGGATATATCCTTTTCAGTTTATTGAAATAATATTTGTCTTCTACCCAATTGACTAGCCTTAGTTCTGAATCAATCTGCAAATAGCATAAATCAAAATCTGTATGATTAGTATTTATTATTATTATTTATGCAGCAAAGATGTGCATGATGTCACCCTAGAAATAAATCATAAAAATAAAATCACATGAAAAATGGATGGCTCGCTGCTGCCTTTCTGTGGCTTGCATAGGAAAGATTTTATTTACCGAAGCTGTTTACAGAGGTTTGTAGAAGCCAAACTCGCCAAACTTTTTCCAGTTGTTTTTGTGCAAAACACCTTTAAATCTGTGCCCAGGGCTCATGCCCCAGTCATCTACCCCTAATTAGCTACTGCTTATTGTTGGTGGTGAACGAGCAGTAAGGAACCTAAGAAGACTTTGAAGTTGGGGGGACTAGCAGTTAGAGGGGGAAAAAGATACTCTGCTTTTGAATTGAACAGATTTAATCTAGAATTCCTGACACACAACAGTCTTAGTATCCAACAGGACCACTGATGCAACAGAGTTGCAGTTTAAAGGTGGATGCACACAGTAAACAGCTAGCTCGAGTTCATGAGAATCAAGATGCAAATATAAACCTCTCCATACATATGAAACAGAAAAACTAATCATAACAGATGTAATCACATGCCAAAAGGAAAGTATAGTTCTAAAGCTGTTAAAACATTCTTAAGCAGTCTGAGTGCTGGCTTGTACATACAGTACAATAATTACAGATAGATTTGAGATGCAGAGGGCATGGTTCATTACTGCTTTACTTTGGCTTTCTGCCAGTGTAGGCTTTGGTGATAGCCAGCTTAGAAGGGCAGCAAATGACACCTCAGGGGAACTGTCATTTAACTTAAAGGAGGTGTCACTGGACACTCATTCCCTCCTTCCCATAGGCCCAACATTAGGAGAGGACAAGGGTCAGGTCCCTGCCCTCAGATCTTCAAGTTGTGCTGTGGCAAATCAAGTCATTTTGGCTCGAAGGCAGAACCAACAGGGATGCAGAGGTGTGGCTTAGCTCGAAGGCAGAACCAACAGGGATGCAGAGGGGTGGCTGGGATGTACCCTTTTCAACTGGCTCCACTGAGGAAGGAGCCCCCATTTTTGTAGGTTTTCAGCTAGCTCATAATTTTAATAAAAACTGACTCTGGTCAGTAAATCCAAGCTATTATTTACAAAGCTCTTTAAAAAGTAACACAGCACAATGCTGTCGTAAGAGTTCAGTGCTATACTCTTTTCATTCCAATTCTATTGGTAACACAGGATATAAGTCAGCTCTGTAACGATGGCTTTTATTTTCCAACCACAGAACAAATAAGGGAGGCAAATGGCAGAGGTGAAGTAGGGAGCGGTAGTCTGAAGTCAGTCAGAAGAGAGGGTAGAGATGCACCTTCACAGACTAACTAAATAAGAATGTGGGTTCATGAAATCTTGTGGGTTTTTTATGCATCTTAGTTAGTGAGACAATTTTAGGAAAGCATGCCCCAAAATACAGAAGGCTAAAAAATGTTGTTTCATTCCTGATTCTTGGTGTAACATAGCACTGGTTTTCATGGTATTTGATGTTTTCAGTACTTCCTTATTAAGTTACAGCTTTCTTAACATAGACAACAGTGTTTATATATTTTCATTTATATGTATTCATTCTCTCTTTTTATGGCTTGATCTCTAAGTTCAATGGCAAAATTAAGTTTGATTTTTAAAATTTATCATCATAAATATAAACTTGGTCTCTTTCACTCTAACAAGGTGACATTTTAAAAATCCCAATTGAAAGCACCCAATCCTTTTAAATCTGTAAACAATAATTCTGCCAATATTACCTGTAATGAATTTCTTGGATATAACTCAACCCTGGCACAAGTGGGTCAATTCCCATTATGTTAATGTAGTTACACTTGAGGTTTAACTACAGGGCTAAATCTGGCCCTTCTGCGTTAATATGGATATAAAATGCAACACTAGAGGTGTTTCATTATCATTTAGATAGTTAACATTCAGTTAGTGTGAAGTTCTACCCGTAGGCTTCACACAGATTATAGCTTTGTATTTAAAAATAATCATTGCTGCAAATCAAGATGATAAAGAACCCACTATAAAAAGCCAATTAAACACTTACCAGGAAATCTGCTATGCAGGTTTGCATCACAGTTATATCCATTGAACTGCGTAGTCACTGAAAGCACCTTAATTGTCAGCAGGAGCAGTAACCATACCTGTTCCATTGCAAAACCTAGCAAAATATTATGTAGTTATTGCATGCATCTGTTCATTTCATTAGAGACTTACTACAAAGACTTAATGAACCCATTACCACTTTGGGGATGGCGTGCAGCACAAGAATTGGATACCAGTTTCACAAGCTTAAGGGACAAGGGACCAGGGGTCCCATTTCTCAGAGTGCTGAGAAAAAGTAACTCCCATTGTTTTCTAGTGGGTTTATTTACAGACTTTAGCAAATGAATAAGGTTCAGGGAGGATGAAAAGAAGCCCCTAAAACAGCTAGGTAACAAAGTCTTCAAAAGTGAATTACAAAGATTTCAGAGCACATTTAATAGTTTACATACAGACAGTAATTCTGTTGTTTTAATATTAGATATTTAAGGAAGGAAAATGTCAATTTAAAACAGCTTTGCTTCTGCAAGTCTTTGAAAACTGAGCAGCTATAAGGATGGTTAAGTTCTCTATGTCTTACTGCCAAATTCCACCTTGAGAAGCATGGATGCAGTTCCACTAGCCCTCAATATAGAACTGGCTTTGTTTTTTCCCTTGTTTGTTTTCAATAGAGTTGGACAACCAGACTAAGAAATTAGAACAAACAGACTTTTCAACCTCCACCTTGAATATTCTCCCTGGGAGAAAACCTTGAGGAGATAGCATATGTGGAATAGACACACAGGCAACCAGAAGAAATGGTTAAATTTACCACAACTTACACAATATATCCCAAATACATTTGACAACAGATCTAACAGTTGGGGAATTTAAAAAATATAACTTGTAATAGTATACAAAGTGTAAAGTGATGTAGGTGCAACAATCCAAAAATTATGCAAGAGGCAAGATACCTTTTGTTGGACCAACTATATAGTTGGTATAAAAAAATCCCTGCCTCTCCAATAGTATACAAATAGTAAGTAATTCCCCTCACTTGGAAACCTTGCACAATTCTTGTACAATTCTGTGCATTTCTAGCAACAGAAGCTCTCTAATTTTAAGAGGTTGTAAAATATAAGGTTGGTGCTTCTGTAGCGCGAGCATCGCTGACCTATCACTCTGAGATGACAGTCATCACTATCCTCTCAAAGGATCTCACAGTCTTTCACAAATTGTGTATATATACACATACATACTGAAAATGCAGCCACTTCTAGCATGCTGAGTGGCAGCCAAGTATTGCCCCAGAAGAGTTTAAAACAGTGGAGGGAGGAAAATCTCTAGGCAGCGACTCTAGGTCAAATCTGCAAAAGTGTTAGTCAATCTTCAGTGTCTATAGAGAGTTCAATTCAGTGAAATTAATGGAGACTCCCAATGCCTTTATTTGTTTGGTTTTTTTATCAGATCCGCAGAAAAAGTCAAACATTTTTTAAAGTCTCGCTTGGGCATACAATGCCCATATGGCATTTTATTCTATACATAAACATTTCCCTTTAGCCTGGCAGGGGCATGGAAAATATCAAATCCAATTCTGAAACCTGCAACAGGAGACGAGCAAGGAGTGGAAGATTCGGGGTATGCCCTGTTAACCCTCCCTCTCACGATCTACTCTCTACCACCATGTGAGATGCGATATGGTGATAGATGGACCTATTGGCTAACCCAGTAAATATTTTTTATATTCTTATGTTTTGCTTTCATTTACATCTCAGCAATCCCAGTGACATTAAGGTGGTTAAATCAGCACTGCTTAAAGAAATCTGACCCATTAATTTCTACTATATATTGCTGGAAGGTCCAATGAATAAAAAACAAGTACTGAAGGGAGCAGTCTCCTGCTAAATGTGGAACATTCAAATAAGACTATAACTTGTCCAAAAGCAGCTTGGTCTGGCAACATTTGTGCAACTACTAGGTAATGATATCTGGCACAAAAGGGCAAGGCCATTTTGCTTCAAAAGGATTGCAAAGGAGTTGATGAGAAAAAACGGTTTGCCCTCCATCTCTCTCCCATTATATCCTTCTGTAGGTTAAAGTTGATGAAGAGAGTTGAGAAAGCCAGGAGAGAAAAAATACCTGCTAAATACTATAAAAAAATTTTTTTTGCATTCATATGCTTTCCCCTCCTCACCCTGTGTTACT